TTTCTCAAAATCACATAAAGTCATATTATAACATCAAATGAGATAAAGAATAAAATAAAATGTTAAAATCACGATGTATCTCGCTGCATTGCGCGAGTACGCTTCTAGTATATACTAATTCAAATAATTGAAATCAACTAAAATTACGTAAAGTAATTAAGAGTTTATGGTTTTATTGATAAATCATTACATGTAACAATTATGTGTCTAATATAACATCACTGACATACGTATATACATATACTATGTCACGTATCTTTTTAATTGTACAATATAATGTGGGACAACATACATGTTGACCTGATGCAATACAAAGATACCTTGTCACATATATACAATGATTGCTTAACTCGGTTTGTCGCCTTTCTAACTTATCAAAGTCTCGGTCCATAATTCCACACACACAAATAGTTTAACATGTTCATCACTCCCATAATTGGCATGAATAGTCCGTAATTTGGCTTTCTTATTTTGTTGTTGTCTCCTATTTGAGTTGTTACGTGTTACGTCATTAAGACCCCTTTAATAGTATTAAACTTTGTTTCTAATTCCCAAATTTTTTTAACTTTGTCATATTTGACAACAAATTTGTCGTAAACCTAAAATAAAGATCCAGCGAAAGATTCCAAACATAATTGTATTGACATATAGCCTTATATATGTGATGTTAGACAGTGCTACAAATGAGTTGAGTTTTTATCGATTAATTCAAGTTCAAACTTATAAGATTTCAGTCTGAATTCTTATAAAGATTTTAGAATCTTATATACATCAAAAATTTTATTTTATTTTGAAATTATTATTTGATAATTGTATTTTATATCTGAAAAAACTATTCATCCTTTGTATCTTGTTTTTCTATGAGGTTGTCCAATCGTCCTCATCATCATATTTTGTGTTTTTCCATAGTCTGAATCGTCACACAAAAGTAGTTTCAACATTTATTTTAATAACGACACATGATGATATGGGGTCTACATGTGATGTAAGAACAATTAATATTTTGTTAAGTATATAATATTTTTATATACGATAAATAGCACAAATAAATTCTCACACCCTCAATTACTTTTGATGAGGTTTGAACCTAGAAGGCCAATGACTCACATACCTTAAAAAAACATTTTTAGTATTATTTTTAATACATCACATGTTTATAATTGTATAATTATTTAAGTAATATGATTTTCCTTAGATAAATCGCTTTAAATATTGAAATTCAGATGTTCTACTAGGTTTTGGTGAAGTAACGAATAAATAGATGCATTTTAAGTATGAACCTTCTACTAAAATATCATGCCATTAAACTAAAATTTAAATCCTAGTATTATATCTATACTATATTATAAAACATTTGACAAAAACTCTTAAAAACAATTTTTTATGCATGAAGTATTGTATATTGATGCATATTACTTAAAATTCAAGATTACAAGTAAATTATGCATAAGTACAACTCATTAAAACTTCATGTTTGAATTCGTGTAACTAACTGCGGATAAATATTATCAAACAGAGGATAAGCATCTCATTTTAAAATATAAAAAATCTAAAATATAATTAGGATAATTATCGAAATCTAACAGAATCATTATCTTTAATAAAATTTTGTTGTTAAGCCAAAAATAAATTACTTCTGACCTAAATTAAATTATAAGAAAAAAACAAATAAAATAAATTATATCGATATATTTAAAAAAAATTTATAATGTATTCAAATTTATTTTTATTCACAAGTAAAAGCATTATCTTTCTCAAAACTATATAAACCGTATTATATCAACAAAAACAAAAAATAAAACGAAACATTAAAACGAATATGTGTCTCATTGTATCACACGAATACCTTTTGGTTTTGATTAAATCAGATCAAATATTAATTAACAACTTTTCATTTTTTAAAACGGAAGCCGAGCAATATGATAAAATAAAATGACGTGTTATGATAAATACATTTCACATAAAATTACAAACATAGTCCCTATTGTTTATGAAAATATTATTTCCGTCGCTCAAATCTAATAAATACATCATCCATTCCCTTGTTGTTTGCATTTCATTTGATTTAAGTCATTGTCCAACCCCCCACCGTTAAGTCGGCTCATATGCCCCTCACGTAAAAGACAATCTAGTATAGTATTTTTCATGTTTTTTATTAGAAAAAATTGTATACAATATCAAGTAGAAATATAAATCATCAAAGTTGAGTGATTATTTAAAACATTAAAAAAAAAAAAAAAAAAAACTAAAAGCCTAAACTGCGACCACTCTTTGTTTCCGTTATCACCGACGACCTTTAGGACGCCGTTTGCCAAATCTCCTACAACTTCCTAATGGTGTAAATCGCATGCCTTTGCAACTCTCTTTCATTTTCTCCGCCTCTCCCAACCGCCACCAATACTAGCCTCCACTCAACTCCTGATAAGCCTTTATTGTGCATGATCTAATGCTTGTATTTGTGCAAGGATATACGTATACATTATAAAAATTAAAAATAAAATGATCAAAATTCCCTTCATGTGACTAATACATGAAGGGACTTAATGGTCACTACTAACAATTGTTAGAGACGATTTTCGTAACAAAACCATAACCAAAACCATAAAAGTTTTTAATGAACTTACTAAAGTCAAGAGACGAAAATCAAAGTCTTGATAAACCAGAAGGATTATTGTAATTCTAGATTTTATCATGGCCCGATGATAATGTAACTAGTGCCTAGTGGGGTCACCGGACCCACAGAGGTTTTTTTTTCTTTGTGGGGTATTTTTGGTATTTAATATATAAATAATAGTCCTAACGAACTCAATGATTTTTATATAAATGATTAAGTCTTAATCTTTTTGAATAAATAAAAGGAAAAGTCTAAAAAAACCCGATAAACTATTTTTTTATAAAAGATTAAGTTCTTAAACTAATTTTTTTGAATGATAAAACACTTAAACTTTCTAAAATTAGTTAAAAAGATTTAGGAAAAAATTTAAGAATTTATTTGTTAAAAAGATATGGACTTAATAATTCAAAATCAAGTATTTTAGACTTTTCCCATAAATAAACCTTTGAATTTTCCATTTTAATGATCAAGTCTCCGAATTTCCTTTTTTTTAATAGATAAATCATTGAACTTTTAGAAATTGGTTCTTCATATTGTTTTAACAAAAAAAAATCACATGTAAGCGATTGGGAAATTGTAAAATAAAATAAATCTAAATCAGTTTTACTGTTTCCAAACCCTACATCATAAAAACACCTTGCATCCAACGGTATCGCTCCCCCTCGCCGCTGGTATCGCTCCCCCACACTGCCCTCATTCAAACATCTTGCATGCGCTCTATCACCATTGCCGCTATTACCCCCTCCCATCGATTTGCTTCTTTTCTTAACTTTAGTTTTTGTCTTTCATTCATCTTCTTTTTTCAACAATTTAATTGAGTACGTATACACTGATCAAAAAAAGGGAGAACTGAAAACACAAAAAAATAGATCAAAAAGAGGGAGATTGACGGCATGGTCCAACAATGATAGAGAGAGTACGATGACGGGACGACGAGTGGGAGCAATGGCACGAGGGTTTTAAGTGACGTAAAGTTTGAAAACAGTAAATTTGATTTAGGTGTCATTTTACCTTAAAACATTCGTACCCATTTACATATAACTTTTTTGGATTAAAAGAATCTAAGTAACAATTTTTTTAAATTCGATGTTTAAATATTTAAATAATTCAAAATAAAAAAGTTTAAGCATAAAAAAATTCAAATCCTTAGAAAGTTGATTGGATTTCTTGTGCAATTTATATCCAATCGATTTACGACCGTTAATGAATATGAATATCACTTTCATCCAAACTAAAAAATATGTGGTATTTTTTTTTTGGATTATAAAAAATGCATCATATATTTATGTGGTTGATAATTATTGTCTCCATATTAAAAAATTCGGAACAATAATTAAATATATAACAATTATATCAACAAGCCAAAAACCACCATAACCAGATCAATCTTCACATTTTTCCTCTAATGACGACTACAAATTCTGGCTACCACCACCACCACCGCCACCATCGTCAATTAAAGTTTCTTTATCTAGAAGTTGATCAAAGGATCAACTACGATGATGACAAAGACAATCTCGACAGCATTTGGAACACCAACAATGAAGATGGTGATGATCGTCCAATCAACCCAGAAAAGGCCATGTTGTCAAAAACAATGGCGACCTCAATAAAGCGACCACTTAAACCTCAAAGAACGTTGCCGATCAACGTACCAGACTGGTCGAAGATTCTACGGTATCCGTACAAGATATCAGAGGGTGATTATGATGAAGAGTGGCTGCCTCCACACGAGTATTTAGCAAGGGTGAGGAGTGCTTCTCTCTCAGTACATGAAGGTGTTGGAAGAACACTAAAGGGAAGGGATTTGAGTAGGCTCAGAAATTATATTTGGAAGCAAACGGGTTTTGAAGATTAATTACCACAAAAATACTCGTATTTTCTTTTTACCAACTTTTTATAAGTTTCAGTCGTCTTGTAATTTGGTATTTTTTAGTTTTATATAATATAATTAGGCTATTTAGATTACTATAATTTTTTTTAGTTATTTTTAAACGCTCGATTTGAAGAAAAAAAATAGCAAAATTTAAGTACGTGTATTTTATATTAATCATAAATAAATATTATGTGGATTTTAGGATTAGTTCATGAAATACAAATGTCAACTTACGGTTAAATCAAGGATGGTAGGTAACACAGAGGAGTTGATGAACACACAACTTCAATAATTAGGGAATTGTCAGCCTCATTGATAATTGCTGATTTATGTAAAAGAACTGTATTAAAATCAAGAAAATGATGTCTGCTAGGGTCCATGATGATTAAAAAAGCACATGGTCTTTGATATTACAAAATTAAAAACATCTGAATCAAATTATAAATAACATGTATATCTAACATTACATAAATGGAAAAACATTTGGTTTCATAAACTCAATACAGTGGATCAAGTTACACAAGTAATTTCATACAAAAGCAACGTTTTGTGATGTCGGTCAAGGGTGGGCATTTTTGAGGTCGTGGAGATGGTTCGTTATCAGTTGCGCTAATACACCTCCTCCTGTTCCATTGTCGTCAACGTCAGTGGAAGACAGTGTACTTCCTTTGATGCCATTAGTACAAGTACTGCTTTCTTCCATCCCTCCTCCCGAAACCTTAACGCTCCTTCCTCCCTTTTTGCATACTACTTTACTTCTTGATTTCTATACGCCATCCAATCCAAACAAATTAATCGTATGTCAAACCAAAAATAACTTAATCTTGAAATTTAGCAACATTATCGAGTTTCATCTTTTTGAAAATTGTCAGCATCAACACAATCGTCAAGAGTAATATCAACAATCACAACTTACAGATGATAATCCTCGATGACGCTTTGGTGCTTTGGTGACCATGCCGACCACGTTGATTAACTCGTCAAACTGACAAATCCCATGACATTATGCAATACCAACATTCTTATTAAAACATAATAAATATAAAAATATTATAAATAAATTAATACAAATAATCTTTCATATACCTGAGTAACGATCTTGTCGTATTTAGATATACAGTTGTATTCCCTCTTATCATCGTCATACTCTTCATTTGACGTTGCCATATATTCTCCAAATTTAAATTATATCATAAATAATTCAATGGCTAAAGTATGGTTATAATAATCTTGCCCTCCATAATCATTACATTTTTCATGAATTTATTTGAAATAAAATGTATTTTTTCCATAAAATTTTACAAAAATGGGACTTTTGACCCAATTTCACCAAAATGGTGCCCACTTTTTCTCGACTCTTACTCACATTTTTCACACTCATTCTTTTTTTAACTTTGTTTTATTCATATATTTGTAACTTTTTATACGTAATAATTTGTAAATATATGACTAAAATTTATTTATTATTTTTAATAAGTTATACATTTAAAAAAGTCTCGTTAATATCTTCAAAATAATACAAATGTAAATAAAATTTAAACAATAATTTATTTGGAAATATATAAAATATAAATATTTTTTTTATGTAAAATAACTTTTTAAACAATAATTAAATTTTGCTAAAAAACAATAATTTACATGACAGAAAAGGTAAAAAAGAATCAACCTTTTTTCCGGATCAAATGTGTAAAATCTGAAACTTTTTAGGGGTTAAATGAAATAATTCAAAACTCGAGTATGAAGCAAAGCATCCATCTAAAGGCTAAACTCGTGCTTTGGATTCTTTTCACTTAACCCCTTAAAGTTTACAGATTTTTACACTTTTGATCTGGATCAAAATGTAAAAGTTTTTTTAAATCCTTCCTGTCATGTAAAAACCAAAGAAGGTATCTGATTATTGTTTAAAATGTTATTTAATACTATAATAATAATATTTAATATTGGTTTTATTTTAAAGATGTTAACAAAAGCTTTCAATAATATGATTTGTTAACATTAATTCTAATTATATATTTATGATAATTAAATTTTTATATATAATTGTTTAAAGGGGTAAATAAAAGGATTGTAAATGAAAGAGTGAGAAAGAATTGGATGTAGAAGTTCAATGGCTAAACCACATAAAAGAATATTATAATATAGTGTAAAATGAAATATAATTGTTTGATAATTATTTAGAATGAAATTAGGGTACTAAATGGTCAAAAAAGACCCAAGATACAAAATCATCCAGAATGTTTTAGAACCATTAAGAAGCATATTTTTTTTTTGTCAAACAAAATACCTCTTAACGATCCAGAGATTGTCTCTTAATGAAACTATTTAGAGGTAAACAAATAACCCCTTACAGTTTGTAACTTTTACAATTTATGGTTTTGCATTTTTAGTGAATCGTATTTTATCGTACAGTCTGTAACTTTTACAGTTTCAGGCTTTGCATTTTATCAAATCGTAGTTTTTGTGTAAGATTATGTTTATCAATTGTTGATGTTAAATCTAGTGCTATTCGAGATAATTTAAGTATTAATTTATAGAAAATGATTTATCCTTTGTTGATGTTTTATCAAAAAAATTAATCTAGTCGTTCTATCCAGATTTGAGGGTGTCACATCATCAAAATGAATACCAAAATCGATCACTTTGAAAATCAACTAGTTAAGATAATTGTCAAAAAAATATTTATTTAAGTTAAATTAACAAATTACTAATATACCCTTAACTATTAAATAAATAAAAACAATTAATATAATAAAATAATTGGTTTATATTGATCCTCACAGTTACTACAAACTAACAAAAAGATGAGTCACGAACTAAGCATGATGAGGTATTATGAAAACAAAAAATCTAGAAAACACGTGTAAATTATGATTTATGATTGACATGAGATAACACGTTAAATTCTTTTGATTAGCATGAGAGTATGATGAGACGATTATTAAAAGAACATCATTTTATCATCTATGAATCAGTCACATGATTTATGAGTATTTGTAATAAGAGCATATCTAACAGTTATGCTATAATATAAATTTTGGTGATTTAGGAGAGTTTATATTCATCACATGTGTTATATTGTATGGTAAAATTAAAAAAAAAATATATATATAAATCTCTACATTTAGAGAAATTTCTAAAACTCTATATACGAGAGAGAAAGTAATACTTTAATTATTTTTCACTGATAAGAGATATTGAAAATAAATGTTTAAGAGAAAGAAATAATATTTTAATAAATAAAATGAATATCATAATAATATAACTAATATTGTAATTGCTAAAATTAAGTAATTGTTGGAATTGGATGTAATTTTTTTGAAGATATAACTTTTTGATATTTTATTTTAGAAAAAATTATAGCATAATTGTTGGAGATATTCTACATTATTTATAGCTTCAACAAAACAGAGAACTCAAAATTAAAGTCTCTAAAATATTTTAAACTCAACTCCAACAGATTCTGTATTTTGAAAATTTGGTCATTAATTATATAATTAAAATATTCTATAAATTCATCTTCTCAATACATTATATATATATATATATATATATAATAATAATAATGATAATAATAATAATAATAATAATAATAATAATAATAATAATAATAATAATACATCCA